TGGTAATGCCTATCCGTTTCAAGATGTGAATACTTTTGCCATGGTTAATTTCAAGCTGCCAGTGTGGTACCACTCGCCTTGGATCTGGGGAGAGATGCATTTGGCTTGCGAGCTGTCAGGGCCCATCAGGATGTGTCCTGGCATCAACTGGTGTTTCCTTTAAGTACAGTAGCTTAATTCTAACATCTGGATAGAGACTTTTCCCCTTGTGTCTCCACATGCAGGCTGGCTGCACCCTGGCTACCTAAGGGACTTCTTTTTCAATCTGTGTTTTTATAGTGGTTTTGCCCTTTCTGACTTAATCTCCTCATTTTCATCCCAGCGTGTGTTACCTGCTTTGTCTATGATTAGAAGAAACCACTTTTGCCTTCTGATGTTAGACTTCATTAAAACGGGAAATTTTATTACAGATTTGTGGACAACAAAGAAAGCATAAAGGGCTTTCTGTAAGTAGCTATTAAGTACCCTTATCTCCATCCCAAGCACTGCTCACAAGTGTTTATCAATAATTTCATTTTTGTTGTCATGTGAGATGCACTCCCAATCATTTGCGTTGCTAGTTTTTTTTATTTTTAGATGTTATATTGTTTTAAAAATCTTTCATTTCACACAGTGAGCATCTTCATACTGTGAGTTTTCTGAGCATAGAAATCTATATTTTTGTGTTTCATGTGCCCAAGTCCCTAACAAGTACTTGAAACCAGTCTTTGTTGAATTAAGAGTGAGAAATAGACATGCCTAATTTTCAGGTTTTTAACAATGAGGGGCAATGCCTCAAAGTCAAATTAAGGTGAGGATTGAGCCTCCTTTACTGCATAAATAAGTAAAATGTGGGTGAAGTCTCAGAGTAGGGCATGGACAGCATCCAGGGGTGCTAGTAAAGAGTGTGGACAACACCCAGGGGATGCTAGTCAAGAGTGTGGACAGCATCCAGGGGTACTAGTCAAGAGTGTGGACAGCACCCAGGGGTACTAGTCAAGAGTGTGGACAACACCCAGGGATGCTAGTCAAGAGTGTGGACAACACCCAGGGGTACTAGTCAAGAGTGTGGACAACACGCAGGGATGCTAGTCAAGAGTGTGGACAGCACCCAGGGGTACTAGTCAAGAGTGCAGACAACACCCAGGGGTGCTAGTCAAGAGCAGTATGAGTAGCACAGGAGAAAGGAGATTAGTAGGCAAAAAGAGTGAGAAGACAGAGTCTAAGCCATGGGACATGGAAGGTGGGACGTTAGCTAGAGACAATCCAGGGACACTTGGGAGTGCACCCAGAGGGATTTTGCTGGTGACTTTGAGGGGGCAGTTTATTAAGGTACTTTCAGCAAACCTTTTACTTCAGAACAGTCAGGAAGATATGTTAGGTAGAATGACATAGGAAGTAAAATGGGTGATAGTTATCAAGAGCAGAGTTCTAGAAGGTGTAATAACTAGTCTTTACTAGGAAAATGGCTGTTGCCCTTCTGAGTGGCTCCTCCCTCCTGAGTGCTGGGGTTACAAGTGTGAGCCACTATGCCTGGCTTCAGAAAATAGCTTTAAAAACCAATTTTAAAAATTACACAAGTGGCATTTGTGCCTTAAAAAAAAATCACACGGGCCAGTGAGATGCTTGGTGGGTAAAGGCGCTTCCACCACGCCTGAAGACCTGCTGCGTTCAATCCCTGGGCCTCACATGGCAGAAGGAAAGGACCAGCTTCATCACGTCATCCTCTGATGTCATGTTCACTGTGGCATGTACACAATCACAATACACAATACATAAGTGTAATTTTAAAAATTCACATTGACAATAAAGAAAGTCTGTGCCTTTTCACCTAACCCTTGGCCTTTCATTTCATGGAAAGCTGTTTCCTTCAAGAGTCTACTGGAAGCAGTTGAAATACGTCTCTATATACATAGTTTTATAAATATCGCTCATTTATACTATTCTGTAAACTGGTCTTTTCATTGAACACATCTATTATTAATTTATAAATTTGTTCTATATTTAAAAAAATATAAACAATGCTCAACTACATGAATATGTATTATTTGTCTGTTCAACTATATAAAACTCTTCATTTCTGACAGAATGTACTAACTTTTTAAAAACAGTATATGAATTTGTGTTATGGTGCGTGAGGTTTCTACAGAATAACGCATGTAGATTTGTTTCTATTTACTTGTATAATTCTCATGGGCTGTGCATACAGATAAAACTATTGGTATAGAAAAACTTCAAAGGTCATCTCAGACCCGGTCCTTTAATCCTCTCAGTAAAATCTGCCCTGTGGGAGGAACAGCCCTATTTGGTGTGATTATTTACTCACTGTTACTAGAAGCAGCCTTATCAGTTAATGTGCTTTCAGCTACAAGGAATGGAAAGTCTGAAAATGGCTTAACCAACAAGGGCATCTTCCTACTTCATGTGCAGGAAGTCCTTAGGTGGGCAGTGATGGCTCTGATTTAGCAGCTCAAATTTCTTAAACCATTTAGCTTTTCCTCAGGATTCCCAGAGCCTTATGCTTGTCCCAGTTTCACAACTTCACATACCTGTGGACAAAAGAAGGCAGATTAACAGTATTGGGGACCAGGTCTTGTCCTAGATTAGAAGCCCTATGGTGGGTCTCTCCTTACCTTCCCATTGGTTGGAATCATGTCCCATGCCCAGTCCTCTCTGTAGGCAGTCTGGGAAAGTACAACTCTAGAATATCCAGACTGTCATGGCAGACAGGTATTTATTTTGATGAGATGCGAGGGGATTGAGAGAGTTAGCTGGGAGAATTGGCTAGAGTGGCCAGTTTTGCTTTTAGGTAGAACTAGAACTTTATCTCCTGATATCCACCTTAGGTCATAGTTAAGCTCTGTAAGGCATCCTTAAAGAGGAAGACTGGGGTACAGCTCAGTGCAGGGCTGCTGCCCAGAGTATGTCTCATCCTCATTACTAAGAAATAAGTAAGCCATTAAGCCAAGAAAAGCCCAAACATGACTGCTAATGGGGGAAGTACAAGCATGACCACAGAATGACATCTCGGCAACTAATAGGACCTCTTATGATGGTGGCCCATTGAGATTGTTCCAGCTCGTGCTGTCATGGAATTGTATTTGTCTGAATTCACCAGGTTGTTAGCACAACAACAGACTCAACTAAGCTGCATCTTGTACATATCCCTGTAGAGAGCTTTAATGCCTCCACCCTTGCTCTGCTCCCATGCTCCCATGCCTGGTCCTTATGTCCTATCATGGTGGTGGAAAGTTCAGATCCTTGTTTCCTGTGGCTCAGATTCTTTCCTAGTGTTTGTGTTGGACTGTGGGCAGCAGCCACACTGGTTTTTTTTTTTTTGTTTTTTGTTTTTTGTTTTTCGAGACAGGGTTTCTCTGTGTAGCTTTGCACCTGTCCTGGAACTCACTTCGTAGCCCAGGCTGGCCTCGAACTCACAGAGATCCGCCTGGCTCTGCCTCCCGAGTGCTGGGATTAAAGGCGTGCGCCACCACCGCCCGGCCAGCCACACTGGGTTTTAAGCTACTTTATAGCAATAGATCAGAATCTGTAATAGTTCCCTCATTTATCATTTCTTCTTTCATTGTACCACTTTGGATGCCTGAAACAATAAGTTGGTAGAAACATTGTCATAACTTCTCCCATTATTACAACTGATTAAAGTAATTATAATAGATTGGAGTAAATCTCAGAGGTTCAAGAGAGAAATATCATGAGTAAGAAAATTGTAAAGAACATCATTCAGAGAAAGAAAGGTGACTGGTCCCCTCTACCAGCCTCATCATAGGGTGTATTCCATGGAGAGATGGAATCTGTTAATGCTCAAGAAATGGGAAAACAAGAAAGACATACAAACACTTCAACAGATGGCTGGCTATCCACCTGCCAATCTTACCCTTTTTCCTGTGTGTTGTGTGGATCTAGCCACTGTCATATGAATGGCTATCATTTTATAGTCTGAGAAAGTCCCTGTTTATTTTAAGAGCTTACAGGCACTTCATAAATAGTCCCCAATTTGTCCACTGGTAAGACAGCAAACTACTTAAATCTGAATTCCTTGCTAAGCCACACCGGATACTGGTTGATCCTAAACTATTTGAATCCTTGTGTTTCCAGTTCCCTGCTGTATGAACTGTGTCTCAGAGCCCAAAGCACATACTCTTCTATGTAGAATACCTTTGTTCTCTTGCTTTGATGCTCTGCACATCATCTTTTCCTCCAAGATGGTACCTAGTTCATCATGGAAGAGACTTGTGGTTTTGCCCATTTTGAGTACTCAAAGGCAAGTTGTAGTCTTTGGTTAAAGTCCATAGCATACCTATTAATAAAGGCAGTGGCGACTTGCTCTGTTAGTTCCTACCTTGAGAATGTGGCAGGGATGACCTTAGGCTCTGGATGGTGGGTGGTGGGCTTGGATCCATTATGAAGACGGTTGATCATGGAGATGGCCACTCCCTTGCTGATGCGATACATGTTGCTCCATAAAAATGATAAATGAAGGGGAGAAAGCTTAATCCTTGGATCAGAGAAAGCCCATCACTGTAGATGAATGGTCTTGTTAAATAAGAAACACAGAGCCAATGCAGAGATGAAAGCCCAAGAGGTCAGAGCTAAAAACCTTACCCTTCACTGCTGCTGCTGTCCTCTTCAGCAAGAGCCCTACTTCCTGTCTGTTTGTCTTTTTTATAGACTTTCTATTCTGCCTTCTCATTGGTTGTAAACCCAAACACATGACCTCCTCGTCACTGCCTGTCTGTACAGACCTCCAGGTCTTCTATGGTTTGTATTGAGATTAAAGGTGTGTGTCTCCATGCTGGCTGTATCATTGAACACACAGAGATCCACCTAGCTCTGCCTCCCAAGTGCTGGGATTAAAGGTGTGCACCACCACCGCCCAGTCTCTGCTATGGCTTGCTGTTAGCTTTGACCCCCAGGCAACTTTATTTATTAACATGCAAATATAATCACATTTCAGTACAATTAAAATATCGCCATACATCACAGTTTCCTTCTTTATGTTTCAGAGGTTCACATGGACCCCCTCCGAACCTGGTGTCCTGTTGCAGACTGCCAGACAGTGTGCCATATCGCAGCAGGAGACCCAGGGAAGCCTGTCATGGTGGAATGCCCTTCCTGCCACCTGAAATTCTGCTCATGTTGCAAGGATCCTTGGCATGGGGAGGCTTCCTGTAGAGAGCAGCCAATTGTGCCAGAGCATGGGTAAGGGGTGAAGTGTCTTTGGGACACTTTTCAAACACTGCCTCAGTGGCTTTGGGAAGGAGTTAGGTATTCACTGTAGAAATACCCTGAGAAGAATTAGTAAAGTGGTAACTGACACTAACCAGAACAGTATGTCTAAAGGGGATTCTAGCTCTTTATCCTAGGGGGACCTTCCAGATATGTTAAGTTTGTTTGTATTCACTCCCTTTGGGTAGAGAGACTCCTCGCTCTAGTTTTCAGTAGAAAGTCAGGGCTTGTACATAGCTATTCCCTAAAAAACCATGTTTACCCATCACCGCTGTAGCCCATTCTCCCTGTTTACAAAATAAGAGAGAGATGATCATACCTGATTAAATGGCCAGCTCATGGGGTATGCCTACAGAACATGCAGACAGATAGACTGTCTTCCTAAGTGCGGAAAAAATACGGAAAGAGAGATTCCTTCCTAATGCTTTATTCTATGAAAAGGTGGTGCCAGGCCTGAGATTTTATGTTGAGAAGTAATTCAACCAAAGGGTGCCGTTTTGTATGGAGGGTTTTTATGGCAGCAGCCTGGAGCAGAGTGAGAGACCTTTGTGTTAGATCCCATGCTTCGCTTGAGGCTATGGCTGTTCTGCTCGAGCAAGAACAAAACACCAGTGTTCCCAGCCAGTTGGCTTACTCACCCAGTGCCCTCAGACTGCAGAACCAGTCTTCAGGAACAGTCACGCTGCCTGGCAGTGGTACTGTGCTTCAATATCAGACCAAGCACAGAGGGAAGAGAACTCTGATACACATGCAGCTATGTGCCATCCCCATCAGATTTAAAGCAATGCTTTCATAGTAGTTAGCCCCCCAGGTAAGTTTAAAGGGCTTAGAGGAGAGGGATAATTTGAGTTCTGACACTGTTCATGTCATCCGGGCGGCCTCATATAAGGCACTAAGCCTCTTTTGAGTCTGTATCCCTATTGGGAAAAGGGGGCATTAAAGTTTTTATTACATTAACTCGTGTGTGTGTGTGTGTGTGTGTGTGTGTGTGTGTGTGTGTGTGTGTACACACGTGTGGACCTGTGCTGTCATGTGTGGAGGTCAAAGGAAATGTTGTGAGAGTTGGTTTTTTTGTTTTTGTTTTTTCCTTTTACCATGTGGATCCCAGGGATTGAACTCAGGCCATCAGTACCTTTCCCTGCTGAGCTATCTCAACAGCCCAAGGAAGAATATTAAAATGGAAATACTGTCTCTATTATATCAGGTTATTTCCAGCACCACATCTGACCAGAGGTTGGACAACCTTTTGTAAATTGTGATGTCTCTGTGTGCTGGGTGGTGATTTTGATACCCAGTCAGTGGAGTGTAGTGGAGTGTTCTGACTCCCTCCTAACATAACCTGAACCGCTTAGTCCTGAGTCCCTTTCTGCTGAGGCCACACACTGGCCTATTCATCAGCTCGGAGGAGGTCTTTTTGGTAACAGTCGGCATCTCGTTGAGTTTCGCTAACTGAATCCCTCCTTCCCCTTATTTAACGAGCAGGTCGTTACATAGACTGATCCCGTTTGAATCCCGAGTTAGGTTCTCACAGTTTGATTCCCTCCACATACTTCTTATTCAGAGAATGTGTGATCCAGGAAGGAAGTATTAATTTGGCAAAGCAATAAAGTCAACCAGCTGTGGAAAATGTAATTATATAATTCATTAGCAGCCAAAATAAATAATTTTTTTCTTATTGAGCTATCTGAACAACTAATAATCCATGTCTCCCATTTTTCCTCCCACCCGTCTCTTTGGAAGTGAGTTAAACACAGCAAACAGGATTTATTAACCATCCACTTAAGACCGCTGACTGAACATGTCTTGTCTGTTTTGTTTTAGGGCCCTCTTTGGGACGGAAGCAGACGCCCCCATTAAGCAATGCCCAGTTTGCCGGATTTACATTGAGCGCAATGAAGGCTGTGCTCAGATGATGTGTAAGAACTGTAAACACACGTTCTGTTGGTACTGCCTGCAGAACCTGGACGTAAGTTCTCCTTGGAAGAGGCTCAGCCTTTGCCCTTTGCTGAGTCTGTGCCACGGTCGGGGCCCTGCGGTCCTTCCCTGTCACACGTGGAGTGGAGCCTCTCTCTCACTATCGTGCAAAAGGAATTTGGTTTTCTTAGTGAGGTTTCCTAAGCCTGATACCTTATATCTGTCCTCCTTTACTTCTCGTCTTCCTTCTTCCCTCCTCCTTCCTTTTCCCGCTCACTTCCTCTTTCCCTCCGGCTTCATCTGTTCCATGGTGCTGGGTACTGGACCCAGACATTGTGCATGCCAGGTGAGCACTGTCCCACTGAGTCCCAGCCCCATTGCCCTTTCAGACACTGTGAAACCTCTTTGTGTTGCCCTACATGTGCTGCTTCAGCTTTCAAGACATTCTTTTGTTTAAGGGCATTTTGTGCCTTGGAGGAAATTACCTCTATCATGTAAATACCTGTGAGTGCGTTTGTTTTATATTGCTGTTGTAACAAATGATCACAAACTTTGTGGCTTAAAACAGCACAGAATTATTTTCTACGTCTGTACACTAAAGTGTAACGTGTATCTCACTGGAATTAGGATATTGACAAGACTGTGCTGCTGTCTGGAGTCTCGAGATGAGAATCCAGTTCTTTGCCTTTCTATCTTCTAGAGAGAGGGTTGCTTGCATTGCTAGACTTGTGATCCCGTTTCCCTATCTCCAAAGGCAGTAACATCCCGTCTCTCTGACCCTTTCATGGCTCTCATTGCCACTGACCACAGCCAGAAAGGATTTCCTCCCTGTAAAGACCCATGAAATGAGATTGGACACATTTGTATCACAAAGGATAATCTCCCCCAGGTCACGGTCCTTCACATAGTTATACATGCAGACATGTCAAAGATGCCATGAGCATCTTTGAGGGCAGTCTGTGTACTGCAGTCAGGAAAACCGCTGTCTCCTGTCCCAGTGTCTCTTGTGTGTGTGTGACAGGAAGTACTGCTGCCTTGTGTGTCTGTGACAAGGAGTACTGCTGCCTTGTGTTGGTGTGACAGGGTGTACTGCTGCCTTGTGTGTCTGTGTGACAGGGTGTACTGCTGCCTTGTGTGTCTGTGTGACAGGGTGTACTGCTGCCTTGTGTGTCTGTGTGACAGGAAGTACTGCTGCCTTGTGTGTCGTTGTGACAGGGAGTACTGATGCCTTGTGTGTCATTGTGACAGGGAGTACTGATGCCTTGACATTAGATTCTGGGACTTCTCTGATCATTATTCTTCCTCACTACCCAATAATGTATCTTCTCAAAGTCAGCTAGCATTTTCATTCAGTCCTGTGCCAATGTGCAGTGACCTCAGCTGTGGGAAGGGTGGCTGAGAAGGGTGGACTTCAATCCCAATCTTTTAAAGTTTGAGGTGGTGTAAACTGTTTAGGCTACTCCTGTCAGGGCGATTTGAAGTTATAATGTATGTCCATGTTGGTGTCAGACCTCAGTCATGCATGTCTTAGTTAAGGTTACTATTGCTGTAATGAAACACTATGACCAAAGAAACTTAGGGAGGAAAAGGTTCATTTGGCTTACACTTCCACATCACAGTTCATTATCAAAGGAAGTCAGGACAGGAACTCAAGCAGGGCAGGGACCTGGAGGCAGGAGCTGATGCAGAAGCCATGGAGGGGTGCTGCTTACTGACTTGCTCCTCATGGCTTGTTCCGCCTGCTTTCATACAGAACCCAAGATCACCATCCCAAGAGAGGAACCACCCACAGGGGGCTGGGCTTTCCCCCATCAATCACTAATTAAGAAAATGCCCCACAGGCTTGCCTATAGCTGGATCTTATGCAGGCCTTTTCTCAGTTGGGACTCCCTCCTCTGAGGACTGGTAGCAAGTGACATGAAACAGTACACACTGCACAGTCGTCTTTTCGTCAGTTCTTGCTTTTGCTGTACAGTTGGGTCTCATCCAACTAGCAGTTTGTTCAGTGCTGTAGTCTACAAAGCAGTGCCAGGAAAGAAGGTGTCATTAATGGATGCCTGCTGGCACTTCAACTGAAAACTAGGTAAGCTGTTGAGGACACCGTGAGGAAGCATCTCTGTTAGCTTGGTCTTTTTTAAGAAAGTGCGTTAGATTGACAAGTTGAAGGTGGATGTTGTAGATGAAAGAATGTAAACAGCTCACACATGGTTTCCACTTTGAATAACTTTGTTTCAACATAGTCTTTTAGATGGCAAGTGTGTGTGGTGTTACACAATTTACACATTAAAAAGAGATCCTGGGGTTTTCTCCATAATCTGGGTTTCTCTCCACAAGGCAGCTGAGTCCAGGCAGTTCTCTTTAGGAGACAAGAATGTAAGGGACTCAATGTGTGCACCAGATCTCCATCCTTTGGCTGGAGTAAGTCTGGGGGATGGTGTTGTGGAGAACACTCTGTTCAGACACTTGTGTTGTGTGGGCCCCCGAGATGAAACGGGACAGATGTTAAATGTCTGAACACATGGACTTCAGATGCTAAAGCATGCTTTTTTGTCACTGTGTCTTGGGATCTTGCTTTCTGATTTAGATGAGGGCATTGGCTTGTGATAAGGATGCTTTTCTGCAGGGCAGTATTCTATGCCACACAGTGTTGATGTGTTTGTGGGAACATTGAGAACCTGGGACAAAGGAGGATCTTCTAAAGCCCAAGCCTGAGACTGTGTGTGCTGGGCATTGCGTTTTCTCCCGCCTTCATCTCCATCCCTGGCACGTCAGAGGCTGAGATGGAGCCTCCCAGACCTGTCTCCTTGAGTCCTCTTTTCTCTTCCATGTGACCTCAGCTGCTATTCTACTCCTTTACCATTCTATTCTGTCCGCTGTGTCCATTTAGAGATGAGCCAGTCTCCTCGAGCTGACTGTCTATGCTCTCTATTCAGAAGCCAAGCTTCCAGAGAGCCCAGCCACCTCTTGCTGCTGACATCTCCCTCCTCCAGTCAGCACAAGCCATGCAAGTAGCCACGTGGCCATACCCTGGCTGTACTCTTTCCAAGGTTTTGCATGATTTCCTCCTGGGAAAACCCGACATCCTAGGCTTTCCCAGGTTCTCTCTGTGTTTGGCATCTTGGTTACTTGCCCTCTCTTCTGACCTTGCTTCTCTAGCTGTACCTCAGTTTCCTTTCCAGACCCCTCACCTATTCCTGAGTGTCTTCTCTGAACAAATGTGCTTCTCAGTTCACTTCTCCTCTAGATAATCTCATTGACTTCTGTGATTTTTTTTTCATTTTATATATAACTTTGAAAGTGTCTCTAATATCCAAGTCTCTCCTTCAAAGACCAGGTATAAGTAATGAGCTGCCTTTGGATGTATTGCTTGGATGTCAAGTTCAGCATGTCCAAACTGTAGTCTTTACCCACCCTCCCAAATCCATCTTTGAGTTATTTCTCTTGGCAAAACCACTGTCTTCTTTCTGCTCCATAGCTTTCCCCTCATTCAAGACCCTGTTTCCCTGCTTCCTCATTTGGTTCATTACTTTCTTAGTATCTCGTGACTGGCTTCTGCTTCCCTGTCATTCTCTCAGCTGATGGCATTTCTCACACCAGGTATGCTCCTGGCTTATGGTTCTCACATTCCGTGGTGTCCACCTCGGCTAGAGCTCGCTGTCGGTTACCTGTCTGAGATGGTTGATCAGGTCATTCCTTTTTCTGTTGTCTCAACCAAGAGTTCATTATGATTTATTTCCTTGGTGATTTGCAGAACTGTAAGCCATGCCGAAGATGGGCGTGGGGTTCCAAGGGGAAGTAATTTATAGGTTAGGTGACCCCTGCACTTTATATCCACCTCTCAACTCCACATTGTGTGCTTACTGAAACTCCTCTCTTTGTTTTTCAGAATGACATATTCCTTAGGCATTACGACAAAGGACCATGCAGGAATAAGCTCGGCCACTCGAGAGCATCGGTAATGTGGAACCGAACACAGGTACCCTCCTCCTTAAGGAAACATGAGATGCCTTGGACTTAGGGTTGCTTCCTTGCTTTCCCATGCCCTCTTGGGAGGTTCTGGTACAAGGAGAGAGAGAACAATGGAGCAGCTGCCTGAAGTTAATTCAAGAACACAATTATTGAGGGACAGAGGCACCAGAGGGCTGAGCAGTGGAGTGACCAGCCAAGTGAATACCCATGTTCTTTGCTCTTGCAAAACATGGGAGGAGTTTCCTGCAAGCAGTTAGAGCCCATCAGCCATCAGAGGAGAGTTCTGCAATACCATGGGCTCCTTCTGGGCTTCAGTTCCCTCTGTACATGCCATTGTGTATTTATGTGGCAGGTTCAAAGGGAGCTGTGGTTTGTTTTTTAATAGTGTTTTGTATTTATCAAAAGCTATGCTCCCTTTGAGGAAACCAATGCTCATATCCTAACAATCATTATAATGTCCCTATGAGACTGTTGGGGAAGCCCTGATAGAGAACAGGCCAACACCCACGGTTCAGGGTTGGGAGTTAACAGTTAAGCTTGAGTTAGGCTTCTGTTGGTTCTCACCCTCGATTTAGTCCCGTGTAGCTTTGTAGTTTGTGTCCGGTTGAGAACATCGCTAAATGTGCCCGAGACGGTATCCTAGTCATTCGTCTAGCAGATTATCATAGACTAGGTGACTGGAACAGCAAAGATTGCCTCTTCCTGGTTCTGGATGCTGGAAGTCTGAGGTTCAGGTATCAACATGGGCAGGTTCTGCTGAGGATGTTAGCTGCTTGTCTTAGGACTTGAAGGAGCGAGAGTTGGATTTAGCTCATGGTTTGAAGGGAGACAGACCATCATGGTGGGGAGGACATGGCAGAGTTCACAGTGGTAAGAACTTGAGGCTGGGACTCCTCATATCTCAGCATGCTGTGAACAGGGACCAGGGGGAGGGGAATATTAGCATTCATCAGGCTTTCTTCTGTTTTACTTTTTGTTATTCAATCCGACGCCCAGCGCATGGGATGGCATCACACATATTCCCTTCTCAGTTGATCCTGTCTGGAAATGTCCACACAAACACATCCAGAGGTGTGTCTCTTGGATGATTCTAAATCTAGACACGTTGGCAATGAGGTGTTACACTCACTGTGCTCTTCCTGGCTCACAGATGGTTGGCAATGAGGTGTTACACTCACTGCGCTCTTCCTGGCTCACAGATGGTGGTTTTCTTGCTGTGTTCACCTATGGTAGAAAACTGAGAACGGAGGCAAGTTCCTGAGCTCCCTAGTATTACGAAGGCTCCAGAGTCTCAGCTAGGGTTCCCCTCTCCAAATGCCATCACACTGAGTAGTAGGGTTTCAACATAGGGATTTGGAAGGGGGACACAAGCATTCACACCATAAAGGCTGTTACGCTTGGGGACATGTACACATCTAAGATGATGTAACTGCTAAACTAGGGTTTTCTCTCCCTTTGCAGGTGGTAGGGATCCTTGTGGGATTAGGCGTCATCGCCTTGGTGACTTCACCCCTGCTCCTCCTGGCCTCTCCATGTATAATCTGCTGTGTCTGCAAGTCCTGTCGAGGCAAGAAGAAAAAGCACGATCCATCCACAACCTAAAGTTACCTGCACAGACATCTGGGTTACATGAGACAGTGCAGCGATAAAGCCCCACTTAGCGACCTTGCCTCCTTCTCCTTGCCAAACTTTGGAAGTGCCTCTGTGTCCAGACTCTGAACTTGCCTGATAGCATTCGGTGTTGGAAAAGGCCAAGTCCTGGGTGCGAGTGTTCCTGTGTATCAAGAAGCAGCTCTCAACCCAGGCTGTGTCTGTGGAGCACTCTGGGAGCTTTGCTATTACCTGGGAGACTCTTAACACATCGCCATCTTGCCATCCAAAGGATCCCACCAGGCTTCTCATCTTCCCATGCAAACCTAAGGAGCCTGGGTGAACATTCAGCGTACTAATGGCATTGCTGTGCTTGGTGGCTTTGCAGACTGAGCAAAAGTCTGTGTTGATTCCACTGCCACGAGACACATGGCAGAAACCCAGAGTCAGAGGGGAAGGATAAGACTGCATAATAAGAAATTCTATGAGCAATAGAACTGGCCACTTATCTCAGGAGTCGATGCTCTGGCTGGCATGCCCGTGCCGGCTACTGTGAGCACATCTTCAATGTTCCCACAGTGACTTGGCAGAAACATAATAGCTCTCTCCCTGTGTGATCTCATCTTCAGGCAGGAGAAACTGTTGTTCAGAGGGAGTTGTCCCTTCCCAGGAAAAGGTTGTAACATGTAAAACAACATGGCCTAATTTAGTGTCTGTTGTTTGGCAGATACTATTCTTCTTAGGTAACAGTTCGCCGCTCACAGCCTGCAGCTGTGGCCTATAAAAGTGTTTTATATGGGCTGTGAGTGGGAAAGCTTCAAAGCCTTTGTCGTAGGCAGCAGGGTCCTTTCTTGGGCTCTGTGGTCATATTCCCAACAGATTAGGAGTTGGACCAGAAAGTGTACATCAGCAGTACACATTATAGTCCATCCATCGATCCATCGAGCTATTGATCCATCCATCCATCCATATAGAATTAATGTGACTCCCCCTAAGCATGCATGGAGGTGTCCAACAGATGACACAAAGTAAGATTAGTTAAAATACCTTGTTCCTTTCTATGACTAAATGATTTATCTGTCTGTATAAACTTTTGTTTTTTGCTTAGTACACATGTGAATTTTTACTGTTAAGTTCATAACTTACCCAGGAGGGTAGACTTAAAAACCAATCTTTTAAAACAATGCCTAGTGCAATTTTATGTTGTCTGTAAAGTGATAATCAGGTTATTTACATACTTTCAGACACAATTTAGAGCAGCTCTTTGCTCAGCCTAATTTAGTATCGTTCTCCTGGGAGCTGTTCAGACAATCTGAGTGCTTTCTGTGTCCTCAAGAAACTGATAAAATGACAAGAAGAAATCAAGTGGAAGTATGTCATGTGTCTTTAGTAGTTTGGATTTGTGTCATCTCAGTGTGACTCATCCTGACCATTATACCATCAGTCACAAATAGATTTTGAAAAGACGAACATGTTTTCTCCAGGGAGAGGATTATACAGTTGCCATTAGCAATGCAGCCCGGTGCTTCTCAAGACCAGTGTGTGTTCCGTGTTAACGGAGACTTCTGAAGGCAGGGAGATTATTCAGGGCCTATTCCTTTTTCCACGGTAACGTGGTTACTAGATTGTTAAACTGCTGCTATCCTGGATCTATTATCAAAGATTGATGCCTTGCCTCTGCAGTGGAATGTATCCTAAGTGGGGATGTATATATTCAAGGACCTTTAATTCACACACATGTATTAATATCTAATATATGTATAGTACATTCATTGGCCGTCTACTTTTTTTTTTTTTTTTTTTTTTTTTGGTTTTTCGAGACAGGGTTTCTCTGTGTAGCTTTGCGCCTGTCCTGGAACTCACTTGGTAGCCCAGGCTGGCCTCGAACTCACAGAGATCCGCCTGGCTCTGCCTCCCGAGTGCTGGGATTAAAGACGTGCGCCACCACCGCCCGGCGCCGTCTACTTTTTTATTCACTGGTTTGTGTAAAACATAGAACTCGGGAAAATTTCTGAATGGCAACCAGCCCAAATCATTTTAATCATTTATTAGAAATGTCTTCATATAAATCAGCTCTGTTTTCCATTGAATGTCTAAGCCCTTCAGAAAGAACAAACAACAACAAAAAAACCCCTCTCTTCTGAAAGGATATTTCATATTAGTCCAAACATAAATGTACATCTCTCTGAGTGGTTAGCTTACACAGACATAGTCAGCTGCCTCCCTTGAGGTGACAGGCTTTTGTTATAGCTCAGGGGATTACAGGAACTCAACTGCCTGAAATTGGATTTTTGTAGCAAGAATGTCAGCAGCGACAACACCAGCCACCATTAGCAAATTCTCCAAGTTTGCTCTGTTCTAACTGGGGCAGATTTCATGTAACCTGAAATGCTGTTATCTCAGAAATAAGAGCTGGTGGATTTGGAGGGAAGGTGGAAAAGAATGTCTGTGCTATTTCCCTGGCAAAATTGAGGGAAATTGCCTTCCAGAGATTTTTATAAAAGCATTAGTTTTGATTTTATTTTTGTTTTATTTTTTTTTTTGGCTGGGAGGGGGGTTGTTTGTCAAACTGATTTTACCTAGCTGGATTTTTTTTTTCACTGTTGCCAAGTGCCTGAATAATGGTGTCTTCTTCCTTATGTGATAACACGTGTGTGAGAGTGTGTCTGAATCTACTCAAGAATTTGGTAGCTAGAACCCAAGTGTGTGTATCTGTGACTCATCCCAGGGCACAAGGCCAGCCTAATTCTTTCGTTTCCAAAGAAACAAGGTGGTAACTGTGATCCGGGAGGCTGGTTTTTCACTTTGAGTGGTTGGCCTCTGGAGAGTTAACTTCCTTTGCCCTCAGCTTCCACCTCGTTTAGGAAGATTCTTACAAAAAGTGTTTGGCTGTGGCAAAAGTTTTCTAGTCCATTTGAAATAGATTTAGAAGCCGACTAGGTTTGCACTTTCCAGAAATCTTGCTGGACACAATGGTATCATCCAGACCCTGCCACCTCTGGGGTTTCCCCTGTTGAAATAAATACATTAGAGAAGAGGGAGGACACGCGAAAGCAGGTGTTAGAGTCTTGGCCATCCTGTTTGTTCATGCCATGGGTATTTGCTCTGGGTTTGAAATCTGTACTTTGAAAGTGGCCTTGGGAAAGCAAATAATTCTGTGTGAATTTTCTTGTAGTTTGCATCACAAAATAATTCTCTTCATTCAAGTGGAAAAATCCTCATTGATTTTTTGGATGTACAAAACTGTTTCTTGGAAGCCAAATTTCCTCTTGAAAATTACTCAATAACCAAGTATATGTTGCGTTCTCCTCCTGTGCCCAGAGCTCCTTCAGAACACATCTCTCTGTCCCTAAGTAGATGCCTTTTAGTATGTGAAACTATGTACACATGTGTGGCTGTGAGAACCAGCTCAGAAATGCCTTAGATGAATGACATTGTGTAAAGCTGTCTCAATTGATATCTATAGGCTATCACATCTTATGTTGTTGGTTCATGATCCAGGAAGTTTTGTCATGTGGTTACTTAAATTGCTGTTGGAGTATATATATATTTTCAATTCTTTGGGAAAAAAATTGTTTTAATCTCTTTAGCCCCAATAAATGTGAGCAGGAAACCAAGTGCGTTAGGCTTTGTTCTACACAATGCTCAGTTTTATTCTCTAAGAACCACCTAAATCACTATGAAATCTCAGGCTCAGAATTTACAAAACAACCAAAATTTATGTCTAGGTAATGGTTCTTGGTATTGTGTTTCTTGAAGAAACAGGAGAAGTGCAATGCTGTCACTCAATGCAGACTTCATCACGCTGTGTGGAGAAGTTCACATTGGCAGCACCTAGGCGTCGTCACCACCCAGAGAAGCCATCAGTAATGACACATCTTTAGCCATTCGAAACAACCACACCACACAGTCACTGCTTTATGTCAAAGTAGAGTTCAGTAAAAATGACGATTAGACTAAATTCCAAGAACAGTTCTAACCTTCCTAAAACCTCTTAGAAGGATGGGTTCCCTTGTTATGAATTTAAAGAAAGGAATTATATGATGGTACTAGCTTATGGTTATTTCCATTTGACTAGCATTCAGGGCAGGATTTCCCTAAGGTTGAGTGCCAAAAGCTGGTTGTAGAGACACACAGCTAGGCCTTGTGTCTCTACAGGGCTGAAGACTCATTTTCTTGAACTGGTGTTGCCTGTTTGCTAAATGTTATATTCCCCTTGCAGTAATACCCTAACATTTGCAATCAACTGACTATTTAAAAAAATTCACTTTGTAATAATTCAGTTTGTGGGGAAAAGCAGTAAAACCATGTAAGACATTTGGGGTTATAGTTTTTTAATTTTCTTAATCATCTCCTAGAATGCCAACATTATTGAATTTCCAAAGTATGCTTGCTATTTTCTAAGCTTCAATTTGCATTCCCAAAGAAATATTGAATGAACTGTTTCATAAAGCACCGAGTTTAATCAGTGCCCCAGCCAGCAAACTTGTTGCAATGTAAATTATGCATCCAGTGAATCTGGAGAAGAACTATGATTAGGTTTTTCTGCAATTCAATTATTTTCACTTGTTAGATAATAAATCTACTTTATCTTTAGGCCCCAAAGATCATGTCTGACTCTAGATTATGAGAAAGAAATGTGTTTCTTATAATTATTATAGCTTTAAGGAATTATAATTTTTTATATTTTTACATAGATTATTTAAAGAACTTGGGGGATCTTCCCATGAGATGATCCATATCCATTTCTCAGAGAAAGCCATGGGCTCGTGTTCTTGTCAACCCAAGGGTCAGATATTGAATGGCAACCAGAAAAAGAGTGTAAGCCTTCCTGAAAGGATTACAGTGCCCTTTCCATACCTGATTTCACACACACACACACACACACACACACACACACACACACACACACACAATGGAGGTATAGTTTTATGTATGAATTTTTATATATGTACACGCACGCACACACACACACACACACACACACACACACACACACGCACACACACACACACAGATGTGAAGTTATCATAATCAAAGTTTCTGTGTGTAACAACATTCCCAGAGTAGGTGGTACCCATGAAATCAAGCCAATCCCCTATTCCATGATCCCTGAGGCTAACCTGGAAGAGGACAGGAGATGGAGGGTGATTTGCTAGAGAAATAACAAGGTCATGTGCATCTGACTTGCCAATGTCAGAACACAACACTCACCAAGGCCACATACTTCAAACGCAGCAGAGTGCTTGCTTCTTTCCTAAAAGCACATTTCCATAGTTCCCTTTTCATGTTTATATGCCAGACTCAGAGAGATAGTTAACTCAGATCCAAATCCTCCCCTGGAAGCATTACGAACTTGTGCCTCAATGATTTATGTTTGGCTGATTATTAAATGAACCAGCTGACAGTTTCAGATACTAGAAACGAGGTTCTAATGAACGTACAGAATGGTTTTCTGATGTATATGAAATTGTACTTTGCATTCCATTTTCTGCCTTTGTGGTTTCAATTTTAACAGTGCTATATTGATTCTCATTTTTGCTTTTGTTCCTCAAGCTATAACCAGCTTTGTTGCAATAGGATCCTGCACATTGTTTATTAATTCCGGTACCTTCGTATCTACCTAACATTAACATATACAGCCATGAACTGGGAGAAGCAAGAACTATTCCTCATCCCTCTGCATAGAGCAGCTTGTCGCTCCTGAGCCAGTGACATCACTGAGGTCTGTGGGCAGTCGCTTTTCAACGTTCATACTGAGTGGAAGTTAGACTGACTTAAATTCAAACACATCCTGTTATAAAGAAACTTCTTACCCCCAAAGCCACAAATTAAAAGAGTATTTTATAGAACTTGCTGCCAAATCCCATGAAAACTGCCTTCACATAAGCGTTCTCTCCCTTCATTCCTGGTGAACCAACTGACAGCTTTGGGTACGGTGGTGGTTCTCTCGGTGTGGATGGCACACAGATGAATATCGTCAAGAGGGCACTTCTGTCAAACTTTCCCATCATTGATCTTCGGAGCAGTCTGATTAGTTCCAGCTATTTCTTTTCACCCAAAGAAACAAGGACAATACTTTCCCAAGAACCATGAAACCACTCTGTGCCCCCGCTTTATTGTATGCTAATTAAAGTCAGACAAGGCACTTGGTGAAGAAACTAAGCCCATCTCCCAGCTCTGTATTGGCCTGGTGTGGTCCAAGAGTATGTATCTCCTTTCGGTGCTGGGAGGGCATCGGTGGCTGACATTAATACTCCTGTACACATTCAAATAAGCATTAGGTTTCCTTGAGGTGAGTTATAAAACTGATCATTGATTAGCGTGGACTTACGTTTTGAACCCAAGCCAATTTGTTTAAGAGCAAACACATTTTTAAAGTCCACCCAGAGTCCTAGCCAGCATCAGACTGGCTTGTTCTGAGTTCCAGCTTGGTGCTGGGACTTTGACATACCAGGGGCACGTGAATGAGTACTGGGAGAGGGCTGGACAATATGATGTCACAATATATTTGTCCTCCCTGCCCTCTGCCAATCCAGGAGGTGTCAGATTGGGACTGATCTTGCAACAAGAAGGCTTCAGGTCTAGCCTGGCTCCACTCTTGACTGCTGGTGTGGTCTAGGGGCCATGTCATTTGATCAGTTCAGCAGCACTGGGTGGAATCCTCAAGGTCAAGGTGCTTCTAAGTGGTGTTTGTTAGGGAGACAAGAGGAACGAGAGCCACCGTGGCATGTGTACATGTCTCGGTGTGGTGGAGGATGAATGCTGAGCCAGTGTTGTGCAACAGTTTCCTCTAAAATTGAAACATTCCATCCTGCAAGGGAAGCTCCTTAAGCAGGACGTCTATATCCCAATGTCATAACTTCACATGCCTGTGGCCAGAGGCAAGCGAATGAATGGTACTGGGGACCAGGTCTTGTCCTAGATTAGAAGCCCTATGGTGGGTCTCTCCTTACCTTCCCATTGGTTGGAATCATGTCCCTTGCCCAGCCCTCTCTGTAGGCAGTCTGGGAAAGTACAACTCTAGAATATCCAGACTGTCATGGCAGACAGTTAATTTATTCTGATAAGATGAGAGGGGATTGAGAGAGTTAACTGGGAGAATTGGCTAGAGTGTACAGTTTTGCTTTTAGGTAGAGCTAGAACTTTATCTCTTGATGTCCACCTTAGGTCATAGTTAAGCTCTGTAAGGCATCCTTAAAGAGGAAGACTGGGGTACAGCTCAGTGCAGGGTTGCTGCCCAGAGTATGTCTCATCCCCATTACTAACCAACAAGCCATCAAGCCAAGAAAAGCCCAAACATGACTTCTAATGGGGGAAGTACAAAAGTGGCCACAGGATAACATCTCGGCCACTAATGGGACCTCTCTATGATGGTGGTGCCAGAAAAGGCCATGCAGGCTGCTGATGGAGAACAGTCACCAACATCCCTGCTTGACTATGGACCCTGCATGCTGAAATACCAACATGCTACACAAGATGTGCTTGTTTGTACACTAGTTGGCTCAGCTGTCCTGGGTAGGACCAACAGCCTTCTGACTGGATTTAAGGACTCCTCCACAAGACGGGGGAGTTCATGTGTGTTACTGTAAGTCAGGACAAAACCCCGAGGCTAGAGAGGTCATAGGTCTCAATAGGAAGCAACTTCTATTGTTTTTTACTACATGGGTGTGATGTGCCTCTCAAATTGCCCTCTAAACATTTGTGTTTACACTCATAGGCCATAGATCACTATTGTCTACCTCAACCCAGAACCATTGGTGAAGCTCCTGAACGATCAACTGTCTCTTAGCCATAGATGGGCATTTGTAGTCACCTGTTGTTGGAGAATATTTTTTTAGCTCTCGTCACCAAGTCCCGCCAGCCCCAGAGCCCATTTATAAAATAAACACATAGACTTTTATATTATTTAAACTATTTGGCCATTAGTTCAGGCCTATTATTGTTTAGCTCTAATTTTTATATTTAGTTTATTTTTATAAATCTATACCTTGTTACGTGGCTCGTGGCTTACCGGCATCTTTACATGTTGCTTGTCCTGGCGGTGGCTGGCAGTGAGTACCGGTAAGCCACGAGCCACATAACAAGGTATAGATTTATAAAAATGGGTTAATTTAAGATATAAAAACAGTTAACAAGAAGCCTGCCACGACCATACAGTTTGTAAGTAATATTATTTTATACGTGGGTTGTGGGACTGTTTGGCTTGGTGGGACCTGGAGAGAAGCTCTCCAGCAACAGTCACCCCCTCCAAGACTTGGGGATCATTGGGGAAGAAGTGGCAGTAAGAATGTAAGAGAGGGAGGAAGGGGTAGAGTGCTTTATAACAGTTTCCTCCAAGATTGAAGCACTCCAATCTTCAGGCAAGCTCCTTAAGCAGGAAGGTAAACAAAGGAGCTTCAGGAAGTCCCTGAAACCGAGCAGATTCACTAGGCCCCTCCCTGCTAGAATAAGCAGTAAAAGCTGAGAGTCCCTCTGATACTAGCCCAAGAGAACTGCAGAGGAGACGGAGACTAGAGCAGCTGCCTGGAAGAAGCAAACACTAGCTGAGCTGCCTGGAAGAGGTTTGGACTAACTGGGCCACCTGGAACCTCTAACCTATTGAGCTGCCTACAGGTTGTGCCATGTGCTCCACGTTCCCTGCTTTGTGAGCTGTCACCAGTGCTGGGGTGGGCTTTGGTGATGCAACTGTCTTTGAATCATTTCTGCTCCTGTCAGTAACCCCAATAAAACTCATTGGCTCACCAGGTTGGGCTCTGGTGGTATCTGTACTTTGCGCTGTTATGGGTTCCCTATTTGGGGTGAGCAGATGTGTTTGTTGTTTCTCCCCAGGAAAAGTTTGGTCACACCACAGCCAGACATGGTTCTAAAAGGAGTCACCTAGATGAAGTTGGCAGTTGGTACTGAAACGCATTGGAAGTTTTTGTTTATGAGCAGACAGGACCTCTCTGTACATGTACTGTCCTTATAGCTTAAAAAGGAATGTTCCTATATGTCACTTTTCATAAATATTTCCCAAATGAAATAACATTCTGTTCAGTTACAATGTGATAGACAGGTAAAGAGGAAAATACATGTTTTAAATCATTCTAATTATTTTCTTGATACAGTGGCTTTTTTTTTTTTTTGATCATATAGCTAAGCTACCCTCAAATTTGCTCAGTGTAGAAAGATGGCCTGGAACCTCTGATCTTCCTGATTCCATCTCCCAAATGGAATGTTAGAAGGCGTTAGAAGGTGTTCACCACCATGTCCAGCTTATGCAGTGCTGGGAATCAAATCCAGGGCTTCACTGTTAGGTAAGCAAATAAGCTACATTTCTAAACTCCCTCAAACTATAATTTTTGCTGGGGAAAATTATGTTAAAAAACAAAACAAGGGCAGGGTGTGGTAGCACATGCCTTTAATCCCAGCACTTGCAGAGGCAGGCAGATCTCTGTGAGTTAGAGACCAGCCTGGTCTACAAAGTGAGTTCCAGGACAGCCAGGGCTATACAGAGAAGCTCTGTTTCAAGAAACTAAAAACCAACCAAACAAGCAAACAGAAACAAAAACAAACCAAACCAAACAAACAAACCACTTGCATTTATATGGTGACTTTCATCATATTTTTGTCTTTGTTTGGAATTGGTGTACCTTCCATCAGCTTTTTGTTGTTGTTATTTGTTTGAATGCAGGCTCTCATGTAGCCCAGGTTGACCCTTGAACTCACAATAATCTTCCTGCCTTAGTTTTCTGTGTGCTGGGACCACAGGCAAGCAGTGTTGTCCCAGTTTAAACAGTGCTGGAGCCTGAACTCAATGAAGGCTTTCTAAATGTCAGTCAAGCCCTTTACCAGCTGTGGCAATCTGAATGGAATTGGCCCCCATAATCTGAGAGGGAATGGCACTATTAAGAGGTGTGGCTTTGTTGGAGTGGATATGGCCTTGTTAGAGGAAGTGTGTCACTGTGGGGATGAGCTTTGAAGTTTCCTATGCTCAGAATACCAGCCAGTGTCTCAGTTGACTTCCTATTGCCTGCAAGATGTAGGACTCTCAGCTACTTCTCCAGCACTATATCTGCCTGCCTGCCATCTTGTCTCACCAGGATGATAATGGACTGAACCTCTGAAACTGTAAGCCACCACCTCAATTAAATGTTTTCCTTTGTAAGAGTTGCCATGGTCATGGTTGTGGTGTCTCTTCACAGCAATAGAGCAGTAACTAAGACACTAGCTAAGACACATCCCCAACCTACATGGCGCCTTTAAAACATTTTCTTTTACTCTCCTATTATTTCAAAAGTAGTTATTAATATGCCCAGCTTTACAGAATCAAGATGGGACTTTGGGGGGTAAGTGGAATAGTACAAGCAGCAGGTAAGTGGAAAAGCCGAAACCTCAGTTCACATTCTACAGGAACCACCCTGGAGTGCTGTGGATAATTGCTCTGTATTAATAAAATGCTGATTGGCCAGTAGCCAGGCAGGAAGTATAGGTGGGACAAGCAGAGAAGAGAATTCTGGGAACAGGAAGGCTGAGTCAGGAGACGCCAGCCTGCCGTCCAGGGAACAGCATGTAAAGGCAGCAGGTAAAGCCAGGAACACATGGCAACATATAGATTAACAGAAATGGGCCAAGTTTAAGTGTAAGAGCTAGTCAGTAGTAGGCCTGAGTGTAGCTAGAGTTTTCCTGCCTGGCCCACAGTCAGGGCAAATCTCTCTCACCCGCCAGTCCCACAGCCACTCAGACCCGACCAAGTAAACACAGAGACTTATATTGCTTACAAACTGTATGGCCGTGGCAGACTTCTTGCTAACTATTCTTACAGCTTAAATTAATCCATTTCTATAAAACTATACCTTGCCACATGGCTCGTGGCTTACCGGCATCTTCACATGCGGCTTGTCATCATGGCGGCTGGCAGTGTCTCTCTCTGACTCAGCCTTCCACTTCCCAGCTTTATTCTCCTCCTTGTCCCACCTATACTTCCTGCCTGGCCACTGACCAATCAGTGATTTATTTATTGACCAATCAGCAACACATTTGACATACAGACCATCCCACAGCACTTCCCCTTTTCTTTTCTTAAAAAGGAAGGTTTTAACCTTTACACATCTCCAAAGTCAGCTTGGTATATTTGGGAATTTGGGCGTAGCTTCTCTTACTACTTCCTGCTGGAGGGGGGCGCTGCATCTTCTGGGGAAACAAAGAAAATTTTAGGATCATGGAGTAGTCCGTGAGGCTGTATCATCTGAGCCAGTTGCCTTGAAACCATTCTGGATGTTGGATCATCTGGGCCTTGGTGTCACCTTTCAGGGGGTCTTGGCTGGTCAAACCTGATGTATCTTAATCTGGAACAAATCCATAGCCTCTGGCTTTCTGTGGGAACAAAAGCAGAATCTCCTTTCCAAAGCAACATATCCTTATATCCAAATTTTGAAGTCAAGGTACCTTTAAAATATACATTTTGGCATAACTCAACAGCTTTTACAATCAAATGTTTTTCTGCAGTTAAAAATCCCAAAGACAACACAATCCAGATTCTCTGTGTAATAGTCATCTTCACGTGGCTTATTTTTTATATTAATTTTACTGTCCCTTTAAAGACTTTATTTTTTAAAACTATGTATTTGTTTATATAACTGTATATATCACCTTTTTTGTCTCTTTCAAGCCTACGTATATTTTACACACATTGTAAACTATTACATCTGAATCTGTCTTATTGTGAATCTATTGCTTTAAGCTGCAGCAGCTGTGGCTGCTGGCTCCGCCCACCTCAGCTTCCCAACATGGCGGTGGTTTTCCGCCAGCTCTGGGAGCTATCGTGGGTCTATGCTTTTAGCCAAGCAGCATGTAGCCCAGAAACCTCTTTTTTTGTTTTGTACTAGCAAAGGCTAAATCCACTGTGCAGCTTAATGTGCCACTTGCAGAGGCCTCATTCCCGCCATACTGCTGGTCAAGCGCTCACACTAGGAACCCACAAGTAGCTCAAACCGGCAGCTGCCGCTCATTTGAGAGAGACAATTAGGAAGCTGTTTTTAGCTCCGTTTTAGAATCTTTTTTCTCAGTTTTTAGGTGGAAACTCTTGCCACCACGTTGGATGCCATTTGTAGCTAGAGTTTTCCTGCCTGGCCCACAGTCAGGACAAATCTCTCTCACCTGCCAGTCCCACAGCCGCTCAGACCCGACCAAATAAACACAGAGACTTATATTGCTTACAAACTGTATGGCCGTGGCAGACTTCTTGCTAACTGTTCTTACAGCTTAAATTAATCCATTTCTATAAATCTATACCTTGCTACATGGCTCGTGGCTTACCGGCATCTTCACATGCAGCTTGTCATCATGGCGGCTGGCAGTGTCTCTCTGATTCAGCCTTCCACTTCCCAGCTTTATTCTCCTCCTTGTCCCGCCTATACTTCCTGCCTGGCCACTGACCAATCAGTGATTTATTTATTGACCAATCAGCAACACATTTGACATACAGACCATCCCACAGCAGCCTGAGCTAATGGCCGAGCAGTTTAACTAATATGAGCTTCTGAAAGATTATTTTATAAGCGGTTGTGGGGTCCCTGGGACTGAGCAGAACTGGAGAAAACTCCAGCTACACTGGAGTCTCTCGTTTTTATTTAAAAGTTTGTTTGTTTGTTGGAGACATGGTTTCTCTGCGTAGTCCTGGCTGTCCCGGACCTCATAGAGATCCACTTGCCTCCTCAGTGCTGAGATTAAAGGTGTGCGCCATCACCGCCCAGCATTATTTAAAAGTTTTAAGGTTTATTTTAATTGTTTGTGTGTATGTGTGTTTGTCTTCATGTATGTACGGGAACCTGGGGAGGCGAGAAGAGGGCTTTGGAGCCCCTGTAGCTGGAGTGGAAGATAGGGAGAGAGACAAGTGGGTAGGCACATCTACTCAGATACAAAGACTTCTTTTTTCAGGCTCAAATAATAAATTTCACCTTCAAAAGTAGAACACAAAATTACTCTGGCTTTCAAAACCAGTAAATTAAGATAAAAAGTCAATTAAACCCTCAAAATGCTTTTAAAACCACTTTTGGTTTTGAACTAAAACATGCTTTTTATTCCTTACATTGTTGGAAAGCATGAGCCACTCTTGTGGAGGATGGCTCTCGTTTGGGGGAAATCATCGCCATTTAGGCTTCTAAATATCGGTAATTTTGGGAGTATTCATACTAAACTCCATTCCCAGCATTTACACCTGATGCCACAAGCATCCACTAACCAAGGGTGCCTAGACTTGGAAGACAAGCTTCAGAGTTAGTCTCTGTTACCCACGAGGATGAAAACAGAGACGGTATCAATAAAGACGAAAAGGGGAGACGGCTGCGCTTTGCTCCCATTCCTCGTTTGAAATCCGTAGGGTGATTCTTAGACACTGCCACACAAATGTTCCCACTGGCACAAGGATTCAAACTCACTTCTAGAAGGAACAGATGACCCGAAAGTATTGTTCAAAATAACTTTTGAGGGCTAGACACATATTTGACAGCTCCCATTTCATTTTAAATTGTACTGGTTTGTTTGCTTAGATGGTTTTCTTCTCTTTTTTTTTGTAGTCTAACTTTATCATTATTTTGTGTATGCTTGTATGGTATATATGTGCTGTCGCCTGCACTGTGTGATGTACATGTGTTGTCGCCTGCACTATATGGTGTATGTGCTGTTGCCTGCACTGTGTGATGTATATGTGTTGTTGCCTGCCTATCAGATATTTATATTGCAGTTCATAACAGTTTCAAAATTATAGTTATGAAGTAATAATGAAATAATTTACGGTTGAGGGTCACTGCCACATGAGGAACTTTATTAAAGGGCCGCAGCGTGAGGAAGGTTGAGAACCAACCGCTTCATCTGAGCCGTCTAACGAGCCTCTGCTCTTTGTCTCTCTGAGGTCATTTGAAACAGTTTTTTACTGGCTCAGGACTCACTTTGAAAACCAGATTATCCTTGAATGTGTGTAAGCCTCCTGCCTCTGCCTCACAAGTGATGGGATTACAAATGTGGATCACTAAACACGTATTAAATTTTATTATCTTAAAAATTCACTTGTAAATGCAAATCTACTCTGGATTATTTTGGTTTCATTTTTAAGATAATGTCTGGAGTTCCTGAAGTAAAATGAACTTATCAAAGATGCATTGCCATCTTTATTTTTTATTTCCTGTGTTCCTAGTGTACCCCTGGGGTGCGTATACACCTCTCAAGAAGCTAAACTCACTGAAGGCAAGTCTATTCAGTAGCCATTCAAGTTGCTCAGCATGAGGTGAGCACATTCTCTGTAGTAAAAGAAATGAGTCAGTATTCTCAAGTGGCTTAGATTGGTGTAGGAGGAACAATACATTGATCTAAAGAGAGCTGGAATATAACCACACTGGCTCATGTCTCATGAGTGCATAGGTAGGTGCCGTGGTGCTGAGGACAGGGGACCCGGCTGAAGTGTTCCCGTTAGAGTTGTGCAGACGTGGTACTGGATCAGCCCTGAAGGATCATTAGCACTGTGGACAGTGAAGGTGCTACAGCGAGTGGCCATCAGGAAAACAAGATGGTTTGGGACGTGGTGCCATTGACCAGAAAGACATCGGAACAAAGCAATTACAGGACAGAGGAGACTGAGAAGGAGAGATGCGTCTGGGTGCCAGAGCGCTGATGATTTGTGTCGGGGAACTGGCTGAGGTTCTAAGGTGGAAGGGTAGTAATGGGAAGGCCACGTTTTAGCAGGTTATTCGGACAGCAGTGCATCAGAACTGTCAAAAGTGTCCACTGTAAGGAGGGAAGCTGGGAACAGCATAGTGGGTTAGTACTTTTCAATAGTCCAGGCAGCTGTCAATGAAAGCTTGGTCCAGGGTAGTAGATGGAGAGATTGGGGGAAACTTCGTAAGAAAAAGAAAACACAACAAAATCAAGAACATTTTGATATGTGGGTGACTATGTCATCAACAAAACCAGTACTTTAAAACTTTTTCGGTAAACTGGGTGGTGGTGGCACATGCCTTTAATCCCAGCACTCAGGAGGCAGAGGCAGGCAATCTCTGAGTTCGAGACCAGCCTGGGCTACACACAGGACAGCCAGAGCTGCACAGAGAAATCCTGCCTCAGAAAAAAAAAAAAAAAAGGTTTTCATTGTATTTTTCTCCTCTCCTCCCCTCCCTCTCCCCGTGTGTGTGTGTGTGTGTGTGTGTGTGTGTGTGTGTAATAGGAATATACATGAGCACACCATGTGTGGATGTACTATGTGCCATATGAAGGCCAGAGGTTGATTCTGCCTTTCTTCCTTTGCTTTCCACCTTATCTCTAGTGACATGTCCGGCTCACCATCTTGGCTAGGCTTCCTGTCCAGTGAGTCCTGGGGACCTGTCTGTCCTGTTCCTCTCCCCTAGTTAGGTTTGGGGTTACAGGTCTGACAAGCCCAGCTTTTATGTGATGCTGGGATCTGAACTCTGTTCTCACTGCTTGGGCAGCAAGCCCCCTCAGCCCCTATAATACTGCTTTCTGCCTTGAGCACTTTACAGTATGAATTCTTAAAGTTTCCATGTGATGGTTATCCATCTTCTCCAGAGCCAGTTTAGAGCGGGCTTTGTAACTGAGGCTTACAGAACTCACCCTGAAATCATCTGTTACAAAGCAGGGAATAAATAAAGTTACCTAATGCTCCTGACAAAGGAAAAGTCCGGCTCCATGCATGCAGAGTGGGAGCTGGAGACCTGCTTGGTTTGATATTTTTAGTTCATTCTTAGGAGAGTAGAGGAGCGGCTCTCCTATTTATGAATGCATTTGTCTTAAGAAATAGGTTGCACCCAACCACCTCCTCTTGGGGGAGAAAGCCCGTCACACTGAGATACGGACCCAGCTTAACAAACACCGGAAACGGGGCTGCATTCTGGAAATGTTTTGAGGAAGTTAATGTTGTTTTCATTTACTTGGAAAGGAATTTCTTTTGAAAATGTCTTTCCCCATGGCTGCCTGTCTGTCTGCTCATGAGACAAACAGTTGCTGTGTCTTGCCACGGATTAGCCCTTAAGAACCTTCTTCAGCCCAGGGAATCCATTTGTGTGTGATGGCAGCTGTTGGGACCCCCGCTTAGCAGGATCAGGAAGGAGCGCCCAGGACAGGATCGTATTGTGTCCACGTTGGCTTCCTGCCCCTCAACGGTCACTTTGCTTGCTGGGACCAGGAATTTTCGTGGTTCTCGGGGTGACCCTGCAGGAAGGAGAGCGGCATGGCTGGCCGTCAGGGAGGGGAAGGGAAGCTCCAAGGACTGTGCAGGCGCGTCAGGTCCAAAGGAAACTGCGTGCCCCCAAATTCTGGTGCCGGTTCCTTATCACTGTCCGAGGGACAAAAGGCTATCTGTGGTGCCTATTAGCATACCAAAGCCCATGCTGGCCTCCAGGCTCCCTCCTAGTCACGTGTACCTGTTACAGAGTCTGTGCGGGCATCCTGGCTCTTCTGGGCTCTCCTCACCCGGCCCCTACCCTAAACTTCTCCAGCTCACAGACCCCCCCCTCCCTACTCCCACTCCCCCCCACTCCCAGTCCCACTCCCCCGACTCCCAGTCCCCCCCCCCCCCCCCGCCCCGACTCCCAGTCCCCCACTCCTGGTTTCTCATTCCTTTACAGCCCTACTCTTTCGGCTATGCGCTCTCTCTCTTTTTGTCTCTCCCGCTCGAGCCCCTCTCTCTTGCCTGTCTCTCTTGGTCTCCTTTGGCCACACTCTGTCCCCCGCCCCCCATCCTACTCATGACCAAGTCCAGTCTACCGGCCAGGCTCTGTCTACTGCTTTCTCTCCCTGCTCCGGACTCCTCCACATGCCCTGGCTGTCCTCTCTCTCATATCTACACTAAAAACCGCTCTCCTTAACCATACCTTGTAGAGGGAGGTCATGTCCTCCGTTTATCCAGGCGGTTCTGTGCATGTTGGTATTAGAAACGGTTTCTTCATTATTCTGCCAATAGTCTGTTGTATCTAAGGTGAAGTTTTAAAGAATTGAGTCATGTATTTTGTTTAAAAAACAAAACAAAGCTGAATTTCAGCCTGTTTTATCTGGTTTCCTGGAAGGCATTTCCTAATAGCCAGAAACGTGTCTACTTCTGGTTTTCATTGTTTGCCTTTTCAATGAGCTCTTGGATTTAAAAACATTTTATTTTATGTATTTTTTTTGATTTTTCAGATAAGGACTGTACATAGCCCAGGCTAGCCTCAAAGTTGTGGTTCTCCTGCTTCAGCCACCAGAGTGCTGGGATTATAAATACATGCTACTCTGCTTACTCATTTAATTTTAACCTTTAAAGACACACACACACACACACACACACACACACACACACACACACACACACACACACACACACACACGCAGGCATGTGCTCACCTGCAGGCTTCTCCCTTCCTGACTCCTGAGAGGGGGGGTGGGATGGAGAGCGAAGGTCATAGGTCAACCTTGCCTTCCTGCTTGTTGGTTTCTCTTGTTTGATTTGGTGTCCAGCAGGTAAGTAGCTGTCAACCGTCTGGGGTGTCTCCTCTCTCCACCTCACATTTTACCTCGAGAATACTGGGATTGCAGACATGCACTACTGGTCAGGCTTTCCTATGGGTTCTGGGGAGCCAAATGCAGGTCCTCACACCTGCCATGGTGACCTTTGACACAGGCTAACGTAGTCTGAGAGGAGGGAACCTCAATTGAGAAAATGCTTCCATAAGATCCAGCTGTAGGCAAACCTGTAGGGCATTTTCTCAGTTAGCGGTGAGTGGGAGAGGCCCAGCCTGTTGTGGGCAGGGACACTCCTGAGCTGGCAGTCCTGGGTTCTATAGAAAATAAAGCAGGCTGACTAGGTCATGAGGAGCAAGCCTGTAAGCAGCACTCCTCTGTGGACTGCATCAACTCCGGCCTGCAGGTTCCTGATGGCTGAAGTTCCTGCCTTGACTTCCCTCAATGGACCTTGAGTCAGGGTATGTAAGCCAAATAACCCTTTCCTTCCAAGTTGCTTTTGATCACGGTGTTTCATCACAGCCATAGTAACCCTGATAAAGACACACGGCCAGTGCTTTACCTTCTGAGCCGTCTCCCCAGCCCTTAATTGTAATCTTTATTCATTTGAACTCCTTTTTAAGGCTTTTCCGATCTCATTTGTTCTTTAGTAGAGAGCAGCACATCTTCTCATTCTTTCTTATTTAATCAAAACATCATTTAGCACAATGACACCCCTTCCAGCTCCGGAAGTCTCCAACAAAATCGGAATATTTAATGAATGAAAGACTCAATTACTGATATTTTCAACAATAGGAAGCATCATGCTGATTTCTACTCTAGTTCAGTATAATGGTTTTACTCAGGTTTAGATTTCCACACATGTACCTTTTTTTTTCTTTAAAAATATGACAAACCAGGGCTGGAGAGATGGCTCAGTGGTTAAAAGCACTTGTTGCTCTTGCAGAGAACCTGGGTTCCATTCCCAGTACCTGTATAGTGGCTCAGAACCATCTATAACTCTAGTTCTGAGGAATCTGATGCTCTTATGTGGGCATCAGGCCCACAAGGTGCACATACATGCATGATGACAAAGCACTCATACATATAAAATCCTTTTTTAAAAATGGCATATATATATATATATATATATATATATATATATATATATATATAAATAAAATGGAGGCCTAGGGCCACAGCTCATGACTGCTTACACAGCATGTGTGAGGCCCTGGGTTTAATTCCCCACTCACCACTCCCCACTCACCACCACCACCACTTCTAAAAAAGAAAAAATGCAATATAGTTCTAATTTTGTTTACTTTTTCATTAAACACATTTCTCTATGCTCTCTGCTTTTGGAGATCCACTGAGCCATTTTGTGGGAAAAAAAATAAAAATATTCTACACATAAACAAGTGTTTTCTCTGAAGGGCGTAAAGTTTGACACATGAAAATCAAATCTTGCTTATTAATTCTATTATACAATTCTGTTGTATCCCTGTGTATTCTCTTCTATAGGGAGAAAGTATTAAATTCCCCTTGGGTCTTCATTTTATCTTTTTCTTCTTCTTTCTTGAGATAGTCTTCACGATAGCCCCAGAAGACCTTGAACCTGTCAAAATTCCCTGACTCGGTGTTCTGGATGGTGGGATAACAGGTCTATACCCCACTGCCTGGCTTCCCTTATATGTTTTAAAACTTCAATCAAAACAACCCCATATTATAACATTCTGATTATATAATCGAAATAATAAGACTTTATTTTTAATATGTCAAACTTCATTCCCTTCAGAGAAAACACTTACTGAAATAAAACCTTCTAAAGTTCCTTCTCTGTCTGTGATTCCCAGACAGCCTGGTTTTCCCCCATTTGGGTTTTGAATTACTTTAGTGGTAACTTTGTGCGTCTCAACAGCATGCTTAGGAAATTGTTACTTTTATTTATTAATTTTTTAAAGACAGGGTCTCAGGGAGCCCAGGTTGACCTAAAATTCTCTGTGTAGCCAAGGATGACCTTGAACTTCTGATCGTCCAGCCTCTACCTGCTGAGTGCCGAGTTTGCAGGCTGAGTTAGAACCCAGGGTTACATGAATGGTAGTCAAGTACCCCACCAGCTGAACCACCCTCCCTTATCATCTGCAGCAGCTGGTAAACTTCTCCATTTGAAGGAATCTTCCTTGAAGTCCTGGAAATTCTCTAGTTTTTCTTCTTCAAAACTTTCATTAAATTCTGCTTAATTCATTTGCTGTGAGACAGTCTCACTCTGTAACCCAAGCTGCCTTGTGACTCCCGCTGCCTCTCCTGCTTCTGCCTCCCGAGAGCTTGTGTGATTGATGCTCGGCACGGCCACCCTGCCCCGGTGTCTCTCACATTCTGCATCTCTTCCTCAGTTCCTCTGTAAGAGCCCTTGTCTGTTGTCACCTTTCCCCTTTCCACACGACTGTCTGTTGTAGCGATCATGTTCTGAGCCTGGAGGAGCATTTTGCTATTTTCTGATTCTCCTCTCTAGTTCCATCTTTCTAAGGCTAATGGCCAGACTTTTACTTTTAAAATTATCTTCATGGTCTGATTCTTTTCCATTCCAGATTCTCTCAAATGTCTGTTCAGACTGAAGGAGTGAAAGGTTGAGGGCTCTGTGCACTTTGTGGAGTTCTGTTAACTGATGTGTTTGTGGGGGACTCTACACTACCTGTGCCTTACATCGCAGCTCTGTGAGTGCCACAGTTTAGGAAAGATTTTCTACAGGGTGACAACCCTCATGTTCATTGTCCTGTTTTCCTTAGGCATCCTACTGACTTCCATTGAAAGGTTATTGCTTTTTTTTATATTTATATGTATGCATATATGTCTGTGTGTATGTGCACTTTGGTGCAGGTACCCACAGAGTCCAGAAGAGGGTGTTGGGTCCCCTTGAGCTGGAATTACAGGTAGTTTGTTGTGAGCCACCAGCATGAGTACTAGGAACTGGACTCAAGTCCTGTGGGAGAACATCAAGTGTTCTTATGAACTGAGCCATCTCTCTAGCCCAAGAATATTGGCTTATGTTTGTCTAGAGCAGTGGTTCTCAACCTTTCCTAATGCTGCCACCCTTTAATACAGTTCCTCATGGTGTGGTGACCCCCAACCATACAACTGTTTTGTTGCTACTTCATAACTGTAACTTTGCTACTGTTATGAATCATAATGTAAACATCTGATATGCAGGATATCTGATATGCAGAAGAGTCATGTCCCACACATTGAGGACCACTGGTCTAGGGCTAACTAAGTAAGTGCTAGCTTTCAGCTTCTGCTGGCGGGAGTGGGGTGGGAGGAGAGATGGGTACTTTTGCTTGGTTGTTCTTTCTGTGGAACTTCAGCAAACTCCCAGTTTCAGATCCAGCTCTTGCTCTCTGTTGTTCCTCTTTCTCACAGCAGCCCCTCCCCCAGCATTTCCCTCCCCAGCCTTTACTTCCTTTGTCTTGAGTCCTGCCTCAGTCCGGGGTTCTCCCACAGATGGTCCGTGACTTTTCTCTCAAGTGCTTCACCTTGATATTCATCTCGTTGGCTACGCTCAGTCTATTAAGTTTCTTTCTCTCAATATTTGCTCAGAAAGCTTTTGACATTTCCATTTTCATATTTTGCCTGAGGAGTAAAATTCAGAAACAGGTCTGCGTTTCTCAGGGCCCTGTCTCTGCCTTGGTAGATCAGTAAGAGTTCACGGTTTTCTGGTTACAAAATGGATGGCTCAGGGGCCCTGGCTGCCTTGTCAACTCTCTCTGGGTCCTTCTGTGGCTCTGGTCCCTCTGTTCTCATTAGGTGTTTTGTCCTTCTTCTTCTTCTTCTTCTTCTTCTTCTTCTTCTTCTTCTTCTTCTTCTTCTTCTTCTTCTTCTTCTTCCTCTTCCTCTTCCTCTTCCTCTCCTCCTCCTCCTCCTCCTCTTCCTCCTCCTTCTTTTTAATTAGATTAAATTTAGCCGAGGTCTCAGAGGTAAACTTGCCAGAGTCTGTCGGCTCCTTCCACTGTGTGGGTCCTGCGGTGGAGGTGAAGCTGTGAGAATTAGGGCAGAGGACCGTTGTGCAAGTGCATTGAACTGTCTTGCCAGGTGAACCTTAGTCATCTTACCAGTTCAAGGAGCCCAAGATTCTTCCTTTCGTGGGAGCTGTAACTTTTTTAACCCTGCAAGACTGGTTGTAATTCTTTAGATAAAGGCTATAAAGGCTATAGACTGGAGTACTTTCTCAGTGAGATGCCTGGCATGATACTGATTTCAGACAAAGTTCCCATAATTGAGATAGTTTATAATTCCTGTTGAATCACAGGCCTTGTGGTTCGACAGGCTTTCTGACTCTTGGTTTTAGCAGATACTGTGGATCACGTGGAGTCACTTGAGTGTTGAAAGCTACCTTCTGATGTGGGAATTACAGTTAGTCAAAGATGGCAATCCAGGGGCTTAGGACATATAGCTCAGTGACAGAGTGTTTGCTTAACATACACGACAACTTGGATGTAGT